TCGACTCGAGGTAAATAGAGCGGCTCAGAGTAAATTTGAACAGACCGCTTTGTTTATTCTCAACGGATCAAAATTTAAACCTGGCCAATCCGAGCCCGAAAAATTGGATATTTGCTGCATCGCATTTTAAATTCCATGTACAGTATAGCAAACATACTTTCATATTGAAAAGCTTGCTCGGAGTGCTGTAGAAAAGATAATCAGGCCCCTTTCCCGCATCCTCGCCTTCACTTCAAACACTCTCGCGAAGAACTGCGAATGTATTACAGCCTGAACCCGAACCAGGCCACCCCGGTTACCATGCGACGAGTCAAAAGAAAGTCATGATTCATGAGTCAGCTTTATTCTTATGTTGAGCTTCGAGGGGCTACGGAACAGCATTTCAGACGAGAAACGAAAACGTGTCACGAAATGTGGCATTCCCTCGGAAGAGTTGACAGTGTAAGACCGAGAACTCACGAAGATTTATCTAAAAAACCGCAGGGATTTCCTCATTTTAAGCGAAAACGTTTGATCATGAGAGATTCATTATCTGCGTCAGAATTTACACGTTACTTTTCTGCAAGCACCATGTCGAATTATTTCCATGGTGGAATCAATTGCTGTATGATTCGGGTCTCTTACAGTTGAGCACTTAGTTATATTACGTCTCACGGACGGTTCGATTAAAATATGATAATACTGATTTAGCCGCAAAATTTCATAACATTTCGGAAGTAAAATAAAAGAGTTCAATATTTCTAAATAAAACGGAGGAAGCTATAATTGCAGCTCACACAATTTTCTCGACCTGTTTCTTGGACCAATGGTCAAAGAATCGAAGCCTTCGAATGCATCACAATAATATGCCTGGAACTGCTTCACTGCTTATAGGGAATTTCCTACTGCAACTTCACAAGCGAGTATTCGGAAAACTTTTTTGGTAGACACCATCCTTTTATCTAGAATCAGGAACTTCAAATTTTTTTGATAAGCTCCTAATCACAAATGTTTACAGCTCGTTGGCGGAGCTCTCAAAAGTGTGAACATTCACTCATGTAAGAAGCTTGCTTCAATCACAAGTACGTATCCAACGTACTCACGAGTTTTTTAACGATAATCCTTCGAATTCATGCGTGAAAAAATATCCGAAAATTACTGGTCAAAAATATTTGGGTATCAGACACAAATGGGACAGTGAAATTTACGGGCCACTCCCACATCCTCCGGGAATTCTTGAAAAAAGCGGCCACTTGATTTATTCCGTGGTTTCTTGTCGTTTTATTTTGCATTAAACTGATCCATTTTCATAGCTCATACGTATATATTTTAGTCAACATGACCAGAATTCTGAGATGTGATTAATTTGAATCTGCAAGTAAAAAGGAAATGGAATCCTGCAATTCAGTCGGGATCGGAAGAAATCAATAAATGTAAAGGTTGAAGTTTACCTTTGCTTATTTAAACAAAGGAATCAATCGAAATCATAATAAATTGAAACTGGATTATAAGTCGCGTATCAAGGCTTGTATTTTGTAGGTGCTGAATGTGCATAGCAGATTTGAAGTTTTGCGCGCTTATTCCTTCCTGGAATTTTCGTCACCAGCGTATGAGTCCAAAAATAATTATCAATTGAAAAGGTAGCTAACGAACTTTCAAAAGTCACTCTGTTTACTTTTACTATATCATCAGTGTATCGCAATATTTGTTTCGCATAGGCCAAATTCAGCGTTTTTATTTGGTTTCTACGTTTCCCTTATATTTAATAGAATGACAATGGCTTGAACGCCTAACCGCAATATGCACAGATTTTATTCTTCAAAAATTTTTTGCACAATGTTTAAAATTTCAGGATATCAAGAATACACAATAAAAAGTTGTCTCATGGATATATTCATGGGAATCGACAGAGAGATTATAAAAGCATAATCTCATTCTGAAAGAAATTATGGGTTCACCTCCATGGATGACATGAAAATATCCTTGAGAAGAAACGCACGCTCGACTTCTGAAAGTTTCTAAATTCTGAGGACTCAATTATTTTCAAGTTTTGAGCGTCCCAAATGATTCATTCCATGTTCGTAATCCCACTAAATTCACGTCGTTGAATGTACTTCAATTCGTTAGCGATTGTGGAAATCAACGCGTTTTGAATTACAACTAGATCATCCATCGAAAGGTTCTTCGCGATGGTAACTATAATGAAGGTCACGGCCATGAGAAAAACTTGATCAAAGGATTTCAAGTTTCACACACGAAAATGTGAGGATTACATTCGTTTGATATCCTCGGAAAATCAGAGGATAAATCCCACGAAATAGTATTAGACACCGATTTTGCGGCTTGGGACACCTAGTATTTGACAAGAGTGTTGCTCAATGTACTGATTGATCGCCAGCTATGTGGTTGTATTCACCACACTACATTCGAACTCTCGCCCGCAAAAAAATCCGTTAATTTTCAGCGGAGGTGATTCGATTCAAAGCTCGTGCCTAAATAAAATGAGCTGAGAGTAACAGAATGCAACATTGATAGTAGGCGTTAAAACGGTACACGGATTTCCACTATACGAAGATGCGCAATAAATGACACCCATCGCGGTGAATTCCAACCAATACATTCACCACCAACGAGCGCAGTCGAGTGAAGAGTTGAAAAATAGGAAAACGATGGTTTCTTTTCGCAAAATTCGAACGTCTTTTGTCGCTCCCCGTCTAAAAGCTAGCAAGAAATTCACATACGGGAAAGAAACGCTACCTGCTGATTTGTTTTTTCAACTGTGCCGTAAAAAATTGAGAATTTTCTCGAAGACGGAGCCGACTGTTGAAACAAGATCACAGTCAACAATCGCAGTTGAAAAATCGAGCCAAAATCAATAAAATGCTATGCTTGACTTGGTCCCATATACGCCAGATTTAGTCTTTAAAAATAGGAGCTCCTCCCAACGTATGTTAAGCGTCGATTTATAGATATTCAGAACGTATCACTTCGTTAATCTAAGAAAGCATTGGTACCAAACGAAGAGTTTTTCTGTTCAAGAACATTTCGATGTCTGTTGAATCTCACGCAGAAGACGGTTCTGTTGATATCGCAAGAAGAAACCATGACAAAAACTGAAATGTTTATCTTCTGCTTCGATTGCATGATTCATGTGAATATACGACGCCAATTTTACACTTTAGACTGAAGTAAGAATATTTTTGTCTTGGAATTTCACGTGGAATATTCGTTTGTCGGGTGGTCTTGAAACATTCCTCAATTCAAATAATGAATATCTCATCGACTCATTGCACATGTTCTCTACCTCACTGAGGTGTTCAGAAAGCGGACCATTCAAAAGTGGAAGTCTCAGAAAAAAATATTGGCAATTCCTCAAAATTATCATTATGTCTTTTTCAAGTGCCATGGTAACCATTCTATCAATTCAGCGGGTTCTTTCACTTCAGAACAAATCATAGGGACTTCCAAGTTTACCTTTGCTATGCTTTCCTTTTGAGGATGTAACAAAATTGAAAAGAATTCCGGTGCTTCCACATGCCACTCGGGGAATAACGTTTTTGGTACCGTAAATCCTGATTCAAGAGACCACGCATTTCAGATGCTTCCACAAACTCGTTTTCAGTCTGGGAAGTACTCCTCCGAAAAACGTGGTGCCTTATATATTAGTTCGTCTATTGCACTCTCGGATCTCATGATAAGAAGCCGTATGAGCCAAGGAAACGCGTGAAGCAACGCTTGATCACGATTATTGTACGGATAATAGTTCAACACTGTAAAAATGACGAAATTGCTATGATTACTTCAACATACTCCTCTGAGATGATTCGAGGAACCGTAAATCCAAGCGAAGAGGGCAGAAGATTGAGGCTGGAAAACGGACCTGAACGAAGATAATCCGACTGAGATTACCGGCATAAATACACAATTGCATGGCTCAGATGAAACGAGCATCAGGGAAGCTGCAGATCATCGCCAGAACTCCGTGCGAACGGCTACGTTCAAAAACCATGCTTTACTGGGCGCCCAGGCTGGTTTTTTTAAATTTATTTAATCGCAAAATTTCGCACAAAAGTAAAGATCAGTTGTTCGAAACCCTCTGAGCGTTGACGGTGTAAAGAACGTGCTCGCGTGCAATTTCTTAAAAAGAGGACTGCTGTTTCAAACGGGCTTATTATACAAGCTTTCACTCGACGCTTGTTTCGTGGCTCTAGAAAGCAAACGCGAATATGTTCTTGAAGAAAAAACAGTACTTTTCCCCGTCCCGAATGCAGTTCGCACACTGTTAAACAAGGGCGTGATAAAGACTGAATCCCAGGGTTTATTTGCTTCGATTCCGTTGAGAAAATATCTACCGGCTCCTGTTTTTCTCGAAGCTACGGACGATTCCGGACAAAGCAAAAATCGACTGATTAGGGAAAGACAGATCTCAGAATGAAATTTAAATTTTAATCGACATTGCGAATAGAAATTAAGAGAATTAATTTTGAAAAACACCAGACGAACATTTCTCGAAAATCTTCCTTGGCATCTCAGATTTAAATTGCACAGACTTTATTTGGAAATGCGGCATAAATTCACTCATCTGAAAAGGCTGAGCGAAAAAAATTGTAATCGAGGTACCTCGGCTTACAGCAGTGAATTTATCTCCTTTAAAAAAAAATCCGAAATCTAGATTTTTACTCTTCGATACTTACTACAGCACGATGTCAAAATGTTCATCAGGCATCTTGAGGTGAAAATTTCCCGAATTCCTTTGTTGAATAAGGCGACGCATCGTCTTAAGAAAAATTTTCAAATTAAGAGTATGGATTTTATTCTTGAATAATTCTTTAAAAAAAATAAATGTTGTCTACAATATCAAATTTACATAATCTATGCCTCTATGGAACGCTCAGTGCGACCCCCAGAAAAAAAAGTTTAAAATTGCCAAGGGCTTCGAGAAATGGACCTCGACAAGCGACCAAAAAACGTCATTCTCAGCGAAAGACGATTCCACGACTTTTTTCCTAATAACGAAACGCTCAATTTCCACCAGGCTTCGATTCGCTGTGATTTCGCAAAGTCATTGCCAGGAAGAGAAGCCTTATTGCATTGCTGCAAGACGCAATTGATTCTGGCTTTCGAAAATTTCTCTGACCGAAATCCGGTTCGTCTTCGGTGGGTGTCCTTCGGAAACGAGGGAAAGTTTCCAAAAAAGATTCGATTCGCAACCAGAGGAATTTCTCTTTCCTCGGACTCCGTAGATCGAAATTAATAGCCTCACGAACAACGGCGATTTCGCCCCTTTTCCAGACCACTGGTGCGGATCGTCTCACGGAGACTCCTTGCGTGCCTCCACTGCAAATGGGCGTTTCATGCCGGCAATTACATCCTACTCGGGATTTTTTCACGCAGATTATCAAGCAGTCAACGATAAATCCAACATGACGGTTAATTAAATGTTTTAGGCATTGACGTTAGGCTCTGTACTTACTACTGATTGATCGGGGCATTTGTTGGTACATTTTTCTATCCCCGGACATTTCCTGGGAAGCGCAGTCGTTTCGTGCGCTTCTGCCACGAAATTAATGTGTTTTATCCTTCAGTTTTTGTGCATCCTTGTTAAAATACAAGTTTCCCCGAAAGAATCATCTAGACTCACATTTTTTGATTGTTCTTACAAGTAATCATGTGAATGCTGATTCAGGGTACCTCATTGCACACGGAAAGAGACTACCTTTGGCTTCCCGAGGCTGTCAGTCTTAATGACAACATGGCAAAATTTGATCAAAATGTTGAATTCCTCGACAAATAAATTCAGAACCATGTTTTTCATAGGCTCAAATCGGAACTTGTTTTTTTTTTCCCAGAGGACAGGCAAGGAAAGAGCAGACAGATTCTTCTGCTGAATGCTTATTGGTGTCACCAGCTTGATGAATACAGTCGACGTAAAAAGGTCGTTTTAATGCTGTCAAAATTTTAATGATCGTAGCTCTACTGGTATTCCCAGCATTGTCTTTTAAGCAGCAAACCCCAGGAACACAAGCTACCAAGTGTTTTCTCACCCTCGCATTCTGATTTCATCAGTCTCCTAAGTTTAAGAAGCTCGGATACAGTTTCCTGGTCTGCCGTGCATAGATGGGCATGAGGTTTTCATGAGAACTTCTCCCACATCAAATGTCTACTAGCCTTAATCTATTCAGGCATCAACCCAGTTCTAACACGCACACTTCGACTCTATTCGGTATATTTTTTTTGTCCGTTGCGTTTTCGCAAGACCGGTGTTCAATGTGGCATGGCTCTTTCGCTCTGTTAACTGATCTGAAAAGAGTAGCAGTCGTCCAGGAGTAAATTAATTTCTAATTAATTGCGGTTATCGCCGCCTGCATCCAACGAACTTGCATAGAAGTGGGAGAGAGAGAGAGAGAGACTAAGAGTTGGTGGACTTGAGGGACTCACCTTGACGAGCCGCCGTCTTCGATGCTTGCAACTTCCTTGTTGCTGGCGTCTTCACCGCTGCCGTATTCGGAACAATTCCCTTCATCAGTGGATGAAGAAGTAGGCAGGCTGATGAGATTATCTTGTGAGTGCAACGCAGAGGCGCTGTTGAACCGCGTTCGCATCCGACGCAGCTCCTCTTCGCGCTCTTTCAGCTCCCGGATCTCCAGAGCGATCTTCGCCTCCGTGGAAAACTGCGGAGAGTCGAAATACGTCGAAGAAGGCGCCAAATCCTCGGGCGAAAAGTCTCCGGTCCCTGGGGTGCCACCGGCAACGATGCCTTCGGGACCATCGTCATCCCCGACCGCAGATGGTACTGCAGCATGTGCCGCCACGACGACGACCGGCGATGGCGGACGCAACTGGACCGGTGCAGACGCTATGACGGGTTTCGACACAACAACGGGCTCAGTGGGATCGAATTCTTGGAATTCCGCGCAGCCGCTGTCATCTTCTCCGGCGACCACCAACACGCCTTGTTCTTCTTCTTCTACTGAGCTCAGCGGAGGCCTGAGAGTGCCTTCGTGGCGCAGGACAGCCTCTCGCATCTGCTGCTCCCGGATTTCCTGCTCGATGATGTTCACGTGACGAGGCACGGCGGGATCTTCCGTGGGCCCGTTTTCCCCGTACACGTACTGCTGCAAAGGCTTTGCCACGTCGTCACTGCTGCCTTTTCCGTTCAACCTTGGCAAGGAATTCACACAGTTTTTTTTTAAGTTCAATTTTCCTCAGTAGAAGCAGGAAATTACACGCAAACGACCTTACTTCGGCCCTGCGACCTTTTATCCATTTCCTACAAGCTTAGCTTTACCTTTTGTACTCGATTGAGTCGCGTTGAAGCGAATACAAATTAACTTTGGCAATTTTGTAAGTTGTTTCATTCTACCAAATTCAGCGCTGGCAAACGCGGAATCGTTTTCTGCAAAATATATTCTAGACGTTGAGGGTTTCTCGGTCAAGAGAGCGCGGAACCCAACTGAACGCAAGACACAAGTGAGCACCATTGATACAATGCAGTGCTTGCAAATGAATGAACTAAAGAACAAACAAAATTGTTGCTTTCATACGGTTCAATGCTGATAGACGTGAAATGATCATGACTGAACTATGACTCTTTTGTTTTCTTTATTTTTAACATAAATATCCTAAATGGTAGAATGAATATAGCTGCTGCCGACACACAAAAGCAGCAGGAAGTTTCAGAAAACTTGGTAAAAATATAAAATCCACTGAGGCATTAGAAAATCCTTGTTCCGTGCGGGAAAACTATTTCACAATATCTGCGAATACGCGCGGTTTGACGGCGCTCAAGTAAATAGTCCCTATAGAACAGTTCTTCCTAGTGCTCAGATGAACAGTCACGATTTTAAAGGCATCTGGATGTTAAACGGATTTGCGACTGTGCTTGAACGCAGAATTTTGCAGTATTATAGATGCATTGCTTGTGGCGATAGCGATGAATGCAACAGGCATTTCTTTCTTTTTTATTGGAAACAAACTAATCAACGTTGGTACTGATTGAAATATTGTAACTTTAAACGGAATCTTGATTCATTGATCAGTGAAAATTCAGCGTTTGTATTCCAACATCGAGATTAAGCTCGAAGAATTGAAAGTACCGAATGGTGCACCAAAAGAAACATTCAGAACGAAAAGTACGATTTTTTGGGTCAAAGGTTTGTTCACAAAAATACGCAAAACACAGAATTTGATCAAGTTTCTTAGCGTTTCACCACCCTATGATTTCCGATCGAACAACTAAAGTATTCTTCTAACCAAATGACCTCCTGAAAAAATGAGCAGCGATAAGCTGATGAAAGCTAAAGTTTTACTTAGCTCGGATCCGGTAAATACTGTATTGTTTTTACAATAAGAACCGATAGTCAGCACAATAACCTGACCGACGAACATGTCACAGACACATTGTACAGTACTGTTCTAAATCGTAGTCTTTTGAATCAGGGGCTGCGTGGATGTAATAAAAAGATGGACAGTCCACACCTTCGCGATGTAATTAAAAATTCTCTAAAACCTCGAATTATTCTGGTACTGTGCTCATCAGAGGACTCATTAAGCATTACGCCAACTTGCCAGTCACAATCGGAAAGGAAATCAGATGGAAAGTTAATGATTTATCACTTGACATCAAAAGAATGTGACATCCCCTTGTATGATAAACATCAGAAGAAGAGGAATAAAAAACAAAACAATTTAATATTTTTTTCTCGGTACTCTTCTTTGATAGCTTTAAATATTTCAGATAATTAACCGAGAATTTTAAAAACAACCGAAAGTTTAAAGGAATGCAGGTTTTCTCGGCAAAATTTCGCACGATCAAGCAAACTGACCTGAACTCTGGCGGTGGCGACACGACGGCTCCTCCGCGCAATTCCTTGACATCCTCGACGAGTCCGTTTGACCGCATCTCGACGGCCTTGGCGTCCTTGTTGGCAACTGGAGACTGAGCCACTGAAGCAGTTATGACCGGCGTCAAAGAATCCGCTGCGATGTGCTTATTCAGTAGGTTTTTCTGGTTCTCCGCCGCCTCAAGTAATTTGGATTCCCAGTATGACTTCGTCGTTTCCTTATTGGCTAAAATCGAGGCGTCGTCAACTTCACCTTTAACGAGAGATGTAAAAAGAAACACATGAGTCCAAAGGGTTTTTAGATTCGAAACTGGTAACCGAGAACGCGAGAAGTGATGTCAAGGGCATTCCAGAACCTTGAAATGTTAGATTGCTCGTTTTCGGGAAAATTCTAACAGAAGGCGCGATTCCTTCCAAATACTGCGAGTACAAATCGGGGTAAGTATTGGAGTAAGTATCGGGGTAAGTAAGAGAAGGCGTCTCAAAAATCGCATACATAACCGTAGTTCATGAGGCAGTAAAAACTGTACTTCAAAGAGCAGTATTGACTAGATGAATATTTCATACGAATCCTGAAACATTTGAAGCATGCTGTAAACTAAACGCGGGAGACAGACAGTTCAAAGTAAAACTACTGTATTGTGAATCTCCTGGAAAGGTTGCATCTCCGCTTTTCGAAAATTGATGAAGTAAATTTAAGTCGAGAAAAAATTCAACTGGACCCTTCTTTTTTCTGAAGAAATCTAGTGATATGTATTTAATGAGATACTGCTAAAAATGTAGCAATACTTTATCACCGTTTAATTTGACGTCGCGTTTATAAACCTTTTTCTGGATTCCACCATCTTGAAGCGGCTAGTGCACACCTATACAACCTCTCCATGGCATTTTTTTTTATACTTTCCATTGAATTGTTGTAACCAAAGTTTACGGCACTTGCACTTACGGTATTTCAAAGTCCCAATTAAAAAGCGCTCGATATTCATATTTTTTCTGGCAGTAATTCCTGTGTCCCCCAATTCCCAAAATATTTGCTTCAATTTCTTTTTCAGTTTAAGGGCCACCTTCATAATCATCAATTTAATTTTAAAATTACCACTACTTGACAATAAAACCTTTTTTCCACGAGAACTTCGCGTACAGCACGAAAGATTCCACCGCGAAAAGGTTCAAAAATCAATGCCGTAGGCCAGACATTTCGGACATACGTGTATCGTGAGGCATTTAAACGGGTGAACACATTTTTAGGAAACCATTTTTCATTATGAGGGGTCGAAAATCAATAAGGCATGTGTAATACTGAATATACTAGCTGATCTAATAAATAAACTTTTTTTAGATGTAGCACATGTAACAAGGACTGAGAGAAAACACCACCTCAACACTAGAGCCGATTTCCTGATCACGTCACAACTGCACATTCGTCGACTGCTAATCGACGACATGCCTCGAGGTATGCCTTCACGAATGTAGTCGCGGAATGAAAATGATCTCGGCCTAGAAATATTTCAAGAGCATTTCAGCATTGTCGGGCGGGAAGCGGAAATGCTGATCGGCGCCAGTGGAATGGGGGGAAAATTGTTGAGCACCGAAAAGCGTTGAAATGGGTCCACGTCGAAGACTGGATTAATTTTCATTGAGCCGATACGAGGATATCGCTCGCGTACCCACTCAGTCAGGAGCTATCTGAATAGCGGTGAGAACGAGAACAAACGCTAATCTCGGAACATATTCGCGACGACACTTCCTTTCTTTCAAGGTAATCTAGACGAGTTCTCTGTCTAATATGCCGTAGCATGATACAGAATCTGAATGATCATCGCAGATATCGTTACAAAAACATCATTTCCTTTAAAAATATAAAGCGAAAATTTCCATCAATGCACATTGGACAATCCAAGAAATGAAGAAGGTACTGTACCGTGCTGAACGTCGAAAATTAATGTTTTCAAAAATCATGAGATTCAGGTAGTCGTTTGGACTTGAAATTATTATGACAGAACGGAGTGTTCTGTGAATGAAGAGGGTGACTTTATTCTAAAACAAGTACCTGGCAGTAGACCTTTATTCGATTTAATAAACTTTCCTCTCAATTCACATTCGACAATCCAAGAAAGAAGGTATCGTGCTGAACGTCGTAGGAAAAATTAACATTTTCAAAAATCGTGAGATTCAGGTAGTCATTTTGACTTGGCCTTATCACGACAGAATGAAGCGTTCGAAAGAAGTGGGGTTACGCTGTTCTGAACAAAATACCTGGCAGTAGACTTTTTTCGACTCAATAAACTTCAGCTCCTTTTTCGGGAGTGATGATCTCTAAAAATCCGTCTATAAAACACGCAGTCGCGTTGTGTGGTTCACAGGTGGAGTAACAGTAGGATTACTGTGTCATTATTCAGCAGACTATGCGGAAGTCAGGTAAAATCAAGCAGTGGTGCGAAGTATAATATTCGATTCTTATAGTTTTTGTACACTCAACACTTCTATGTGAGTCTGACAGTGACGAGAAGTAAGGTCAGAAAATAACCAGGTGGTTCGAAAGGAAATGTAAACAGATAAATGAAAATCGAAGCCTGGCGTAATCATTGCTACGGTGCTTTGGTACTGGATTTTTCTGGGGAAAAGAAACCGAATTAAATTCGCAATGCGCGTGTATTCCAAGAAAATGCAACGCATTAAGGTTCCAGTAGATCGACGTGCGTGTAAGAAAACGTCGTTCCTAGCGAATTACTTTCAAGGAGACAAGGTTTTAGATGAATTGTTATATGAATTAACAGCATAATTTGGGCACGTGGAATAATGAATGTCGTGTTAGGATTGGACAACAATGAGAACTAGGGCGACGCCGACATTCATCTGGACTGTCGAATGGGGCGGCCTGAAACAATAACGCGACACCGCCGCCTTGTCTTCCTCGCTACCCATTTCTATAAGCACATTGTTGGCAAAACTCACCGTTATTAGTTCCCATTCCCGCAGCAGGGAAAACGAGCACCCGTGGACACAAAAGAAAAAGTGACAGAAACCCGAGTCTGCGACGAAAGCAACGCAAGAAACACACCAAATATGAGGGAACGTCTAAACCACGACAGCGAGTTTTTGCGTCATCTGTCCAGAATTCGCGGTGACGCGGCGATTTTTGAACGGCGTTGCACTCCGAAACATTTCTTTTTCGCTGCGGCCGGAATTCCAAACTGGACTCATGGGAAAGAAAATTTTCTGGACCCCTTGTTTCCCAAGCAACTCCCTCTTCGACATACCGACAGCGACGACGACAATGACGGGATGAAATTCACTACAACGATCCAGCTACGTGCGAAAGCATGAGTCCTTGGCTCGCGAATCGTCAGGAAGCTCCGAAGGGGACTTTACAATACATTATTTACGCACATTGCTTCACTCGTGTTTAAAAAAAAAAGCTTTTTTCAATCGTAAAAAAATTACATGTTCTAATCGAAGAAATAAATCTTCTCTACCACACCGGAATACTTTTGTATCTCTCAAATTCCATTGCTCAGAGATTTTCCGTGTATTTGATTAATGCAATGACAATCTTTTCTGATTATTATCTAAAGACTTTATTTGAGAAAATGAGTTCTATGAGAAAACACCTATAATAAGCGGATCCGAACAATTTTGTTCCCCGAAACTAAGTCAATCGAATAAACAATTTTCCCAAGCGCTCTCTTACACTGGCTGGATGGGAAAATAATTGTAGTCCTGCATTGATCGAATTGATGTTCGCTTGTGCAGAAATGCACCAATGAACAGCGCAGCTCAACCTATTCCATTGCCAGACTATCAAAAATTTTTTTTAGTTATCTTTCATAGTTGTAGAAAGCTGTACATGCATTAAAAAATTTCAGGAATATTCAAAACTGGATGCATCACAGAAGAAATCTCGGATATTAAAAAAAATAATTTCCGGTTCCGCCAGAAAAAAAATTGAAATCGCAGTGCCCAGAAAAGAATGAATGAGGATGAAAAATTTCTCGGGCTCCTCTTCAATGGAAATTCAAAATGTTGGTGAAATTATAGAAAAATTATTAATTATTAATTATAAATTAAATTATGATAAGAAATTATGAAAAAAAAATGTTTCGAAATTTTTGGAAAATTTTGAATTTTTGGAAAATTTAGAATTTTTTTAAATTTTGAATTTTTTACAGTTTTGAACTTTTTACAATTTAGAATTTTTTAAATTTTGAATTTTGTAAATTTTGAATTTTGTAAATTTTGAATTTTTGGATCATTTTGAGCTTTTGGATAATTTTGAGTTTTTGGATAATTTTGAGTTTTTGGATAATTTTGAGTTTTTGGATAATTTTGAGTTTTTGGAAAATTTTTAATTTATGAAAATTCCTAATTAACGTATATTGCCTTCTTTAGAAAATTTGGGTAAGGCACTTCTTCATTATTCAAATTTATAAACTGATGCTTGACTGCGCAGAAGCAGAGAAGATATGGAAATGTGCCGTTGTTTTTCAACACCTCTGCACAGGGCGAATGTCGCGACAGCAGGAAACTTCCCTTGAACGATTACTGTTCTGCCGGGGCCAAACAACTCTTCCGCCCCTCGTCGTCGACTGCCGGGTGTCGAACTGAGCCCGTTGAATAACCGAGTGTCGGAAAAATACATCGCACCGATCCCAGCACCCGTGAGACAGCATTTCTCCTTCGCCGGCGCGGAATTCCCAGGAGATCCAAACAACATCCGCTGTTGGGTGCCAACGCCTGCTTGCTCTCGGTCACCGGATGAACATTTCACGGGAAATAGCACCAGGCGTGAGGCGAGGCGAAAGTTGTCCACACGAATCCGAAAACAATTTCCGAATTCTCAAGGGTGGATAAAGCCTCATTTATCTCAACCCATCGCAGTAGCGTTTCTTTTGACACATGCGCGCGTGTCCGACTTGGTTAGGCTTCAGATCGGCGAGAGATTTAAAAATCACTCCATACACAGAAGAGAAGGCATTGACACTTTTTGGAACCGAAGAAAGTTGCGGTTGTGGTTCTTTTGTGTGTGTGTGTGTGTGTGTGTGTCAGTATGAGGAACATGAGATTCATGAGATTCAATCAACCTTCTCTAACTAGTCTCATTCTCTGTCGTTGCAGCATAGACTTCATTATTCAGGCTTCAATTATCGATGCCCTTGAATAACTTTGACAAGGCTCAAGCTTATTCCTGTAAACGAAAGATTTCACATAACTGTGACGTCAGGCGCCATATTTCCCTTGCATAAACTTAAAATTCCACAGGAAACTACTGGTGAAATCAAGAGGAAAAATTGGTGAGCATAGGAGAGCCTGCAAAAATATTGTTGATGCAGTAGTATAGGGGACCATGTTTGTAAAATACTGCGGTGTATCGAAAATATAAGGAATAATATAAAGTTCAGACCGTGATTTCAGTCGCAGGGATGCTTACAAATTAAAATATCGAAATAGGATCAATGTTTAAAATTATAAGCCCATCTCTCCCTTGTTTACAGGATGATAAACACGCAGTATATTTTTTTTACTTGTCAGTTGCATTCAATTTTTAGGTCAAGCCAATCCGGTCATTAATCCGTCTGAATAAGGTTCCTCCAAGGATATTTCAGTAACATTTCGTTAATCTTCGAAGCGTGAGTATAGGGCATTTTTATAAGTGTTTTGTGCAAGGGCAATTAACAATTTAGCATTATGTTTTTGAGGATGCCGGATTTGCATGCATTAAGAAAATATATCTACTTCACTGATGAAACTTGGAAAGCTTGACTTTAGAAGTGTCAGAAAATATTTCCCGACATTTAGCAGTGTATGCAATATTTACTCAGGTATAAGATGCTATGAGTGAAAAGACAAGACTATTTTAAGCCATACCTCAACAGTATACTTAATATCTTCAGCATGTTAAGAACTTGTTGATTTTGTTCAGGTCTCTTGCACCAGCTTGATCTCCTGAAAATGTATCTACCGAAACGATGATTCTAACCCCAGCCCCCCGGATCGGCAGATGGCATTGCCTTTATTCAGTGTTTGTCCATATGTTGAATTTTAGACAGTATAACTATTACTAATCTTCTGTTTGTCAAAAGAAATAAAAAAACCGAACATTCCTTCTGAATTCGTGTTGAAAAATTTAATTAATTCGTTATACCTGAGCCCCTGCAGTTGACGAAAGCGTTTTACTGAAAAATATTGCTGCACAGATCGTTCCCATGAGACCAGTTTTTTATCCA